CGGCGGGTTTACGTATAACCCTGCCGCTCTGCTCACTGCAGTCAGAGACTCGGGGCTCGGCGGCAGAGGACGGAACCAAAGGAGAGAGGTAAGTGCAGGGGGGAGGGAGAGAAGGCTGCACACTGTTTACATGTGAAATCGGAGACATCGCCTATTTCACATGTAAACGAAAAATCGTCTGCCTCACTCTATGTTTAGTCCTGCTTGTACAAAGCAGGACTGAATGTAGAGAGGGCAACTTCCCCACAAGGACACCGCTGCCGCCCCGAGGCCGGGCCTCGGTGGCCTTGTGGGGAATCCGGGCCTGGATCTACTTGCGGATATTTCAGTAGCAGGGATTTAGCTTGTATATTGTTGTTAGAGCCCAGAGTTCGGTTTTAAACTCCATATATCTGAAAAATGAAAGGAATGGTTGTACCACACCAACCAATGTTTGGTATGCACAGAGATGTACCCTGAGAAGAAATATATATCTGATTCCAGAGAATGTCAAGACACGCACATTGCTCTTTATACATCAGCAGTCTTGGTTTTTTTAACCTCCATATAGTTCAATTCTTAATAATACAATGTAATAGAATAACTGGCAGTTGAGATATAACTTTTTTTTAGCTAATTGTTTTATCTTTCTTTCAGGGTGTTGTGGGTGGAGTGACTGGCATAATTACCAAGCCTGTAGAAGGTAGGTACATTATGAATCCCGACACTGGCATTTTCCCCATGCTGTTCCTGGATATTGGAATGTATACAAATTGTGTTAGACTGTGCGAATATTCCATAATTGCTTATTTGACATGACTGCTTGGCAACTCTGCTAGAAGCAATGGGGGAATAGTTCAAATTACTGTGGGAGATAGAGACATTCTTTATGGCAAACAGATGGCTTTAGCTGGTTTGAGAGGGGAGATCATTTACGTGCTATAATGCTCTGTAGAGTTTAGGAATGCTTGCTATATGCATGCTACAGATGAGGAATGTTTTGAAGCCAAGTAATTTTCAAATGATTTATTCTAATGTACTGATCGATTTGTGGCTTCCTGTCAAAGAAAATGAGAGTTCGTTAACTGCTTTATTTTATTTGTACAGAAAAAGGAATTCTGGCATATATTAGGGTTTATTAAGAGCAAGTAATCTTAAATTACATCTATATAAAGCATTTACAGGCAATAAATACAAATGTTTCAGGATCCCATCAGATTTCTGGGACAAACTTTTCTTGCACACAGCTGATATCTTGTAGACAGTCATTGTGTAATTAAACTATAGTCAACCTTTTAAAAAAGCCTTCCTTAACGTGGCTCATAACCTAGTGCAGACCGCTTACTCCAGTCCATTTTTTTTATGGGTTAGAATCTCTATTAGTTTCATACTGCTGGCTTTGTCCATGTTGAAGAGATTTCCCATTACCTCTTTCACTGGGCCAGAAAGTAAGGAGAATATACTCAGCATGAATGAAGACAACAATGAAAACCTGACCTAGGTTTTAAAGGAAAGTTCCAACTTCCTTCTTTTTTTATTTTTGATTACCTTTCACACTACTTTTTCAAAAAGAAAAAAAGGTCAAACTTTGCCTACCTTCTCCACATCCCAGCTTCCTTCTTGGTCCAGCACCGGCATTGCCAGTCCTCTTTGGGCTCTGGGATTGCATTATCACGTAGGCTGGAATCACAGTGCTCAAAGTCTGAACGGCGCTCACATGTCATTACATGAGCACCTCTCTGTCTAGGAGGAATGTGTGCCCCCCTCCTTCTAGGTCACCATACCAGCTAGAAAACTGCAGGAAAAAGGTTTGTTTAGGGGTTTTTAATAAGAGACCCAAGATTGTCTTGGGGGTTGGTTTAGGTGGTGGGGTGGGCACCCATAGCTCAAGTTCTGCTTTAACCCTTTTCCACTCTAATAAGAAATTGTGCTCTATACTCGTCTGTGTGTGCCTGCTGAATAAATTTTTCCTTACTTCTTGTGCCTTTTACCTCTGTCGATGGTACAGAAAGTGAAAAGATTCCTGCTCATTGCTGAACCTTAAAGAGGTCTTATAGTATATTGTAGTGTATTACTATATATCTTAAAGTCAAACATATTTAATATTTTGGATAGAGTAAGCAGTGGTGAAAATTCTGTCCCACTTTTCATTTGTTGCCATCTGTGTGCCATTGCGGAGTTTCCCTTCACTTAATGACAAAAGAAGTGAGAGCAAAACCTGGCTTAAGTTTTAGTTTAGCCTTGTAAAATATTGTGCGATATACATCTTATGTATCTTTATACATATACTGTATAGTAACTTGCACATGCTTATCTGTAGCTCTTTAAATAATTATATTTGCCTATATTATAGTGATCAATCCTATACCTTTCTTTTCTTTATTACATACAGGAGCCAAAAAAGAAGGAGCTGCAGGGTTCTTCAAAGGAATTGGAAAGGGCCTTGTTGGTGTTGTGGCAAGGCCTACAGGTGGAATCATTGACATGGCAAGCAGCACCTTCCAGGGGATTCAGAGGTATGAATGTTCCATAGAAAAGGAGAAGCACAGCCACCACTGATTTCATATCCAGTGTCAGGACTGAGAGATTAGTCTAGCATAAAGAGACATGATAATAATATGCGTCTTCAGCTACTCTGTTCAAAAGCTCCTTCTTCAGGCTTGGCAGGCTTAATAACAAAATACAATATTCTAATTTGGAGAGAAACAAAAACATGTTGGGGTAGTCACATGTACATCTAACCTGTGTTTTATGTATATTAGCAAGTGTTTGTTGGTTGCTTCTGCATGCTCCATATGGTTAATTTGCAAAGGGTTTGCACCCTACATTGATCTGTTTCCACTGCTTATTTAGGATTTGGCTGACATAGCATCAATCATGCTTTTGCTAAGCAGAATGTCACTCATTGACTTGTCCTGGCAAACACCCCTCTCCATCTCAGAAAACCTTTTTTTTTTTTTTCTTGACCCAGTACTGGTTGGTTTCTGCCCAAACTACCCCACTTAGTTTTGCTGACTTGCATTTGGCTTCATTTCAACTTAAATTGTTCAGTCAGGAGACTTTTACTTTTTTAAGAGCCCACTAGAAAAGGTTTACAACTTTTCAGCATGCTCATCTTCCCAAGGAGAGCTGCTTTTGATACTTCATTGAGCATTTACCATATTAAAAGATTACAATACAGCAACCCTTCTTACTAGCTGTGTCCTTTTTTTTTTTTATATGGGAAAAGGGTGTCACTTAAAGGTGAAACATTTTTAGGGTGCAGTCAAATGTAGTACTCCGTTCACTTGATCTTACGGCTGGAAGAGGCTAGAAGTGGAAGGTTTTTTTTTCCGCTGTTGATGGGTTTACTATTCGTGTTGTCCATAGTTTCTCATATTTGTTCGCACAACCTTTGTAAGTGTAGGGGGCTGAGGGTAATGACAGATTGGTGTTTATAAACTTTTTCCAGAGAAGTACTATGTAATAGTAATAGAAGGACTATGTTGTTTCCATCTCATGGTTATCGACTTTCTTCCATAATGAATGAGCAATCCAAGGTGTGTCCTCTCAGAGTTAGTAGGGGTTAGGTCTTTTACCAGCCCTAACAGGTATTTTTTTTCTTCAGGAATCAAGGTTGAAGATTAGAGTTCATTTTTTTTCAGTTTGTGGGCTCTGTGTAAGAACAGTGTCACCTAGTTTATGGATTTAGTGCATTTGGCTGTGGGTTTTTATTTTTTGCCTTTTACATTAGTAAATTTACTTTACTATTTGCTTGTAATTAAACAGCTGGACAGCGGCTTCTTTGATGCGGGTGGGCGTTTTTAAATGTCTCTTTTCCCGCTCCACTCGTGCCCTCCACTAGGCGGAGCGCACGAGTGGAAATCTGCCTGAAATGTAAACAGCCAGCAATGGCCACACCCTTTAAAGACGCCGATCGCTTGTATTATGCGGGTGTGTGCCCCCCTCCGTCGCTGGCGATCCCGAACTCCTCTGTGCGGACCTTTACCCATATCGTTAAAATAACAACAAAGTCTTCTTTAAAAATGTTTAGTAATGACAATCTACAAACAGATACTTATATATAATTACAGGCATTTTATTCTTTGTATACCTTATTTCTCTTTTCTTCCTTCTGTGGCCATTTTTACTAAAGACAGATTAATCCATGTCCCTTTACTTCCTGGAACTTTGGCACATGTGACTAGGACATGTGACCATGCACATCATCTCAGGGGAGGAAATTGCCTTTCCCTGAGATCCCATGAGATCCCATGAGATTACAGATGAGATTTCACGTAAATGGTCTGCTGATGTAACATTGCCAGGATGCAATGCTTGGGCACGATGACATCATTTGTGCCAAAGTGGACCAGGAAGTAGATGAACTCTATCTGTGAGCAAATGAAAAACCTGTTTCTTTAACTAATGCATGTAATATGATTTTATATCAGCATGCAGAGCTGCTGATGTAATTTTTTGTGAAAGGTCCACTTTAAAAGAATTTAGCAGGTGAAGATTCTGCAAGTTTAAACTATCTTGTATTTCATTGCTAATATTTCCTTTATCAGTCTTTGACATTATGCAACCAATTCATCTGCTTGCTGCATTTTATTTTTTACACAGTCCTCTCATTTAGTCTTGCCATTCTTTTATACCTGTCATACCCACAATGCTGTCACTAACGTGGTCCTCGCATCTCTTCACAACTTCACTGTTTCGTAATTTTCCAGCTTAAACTCATTGAAGATGCTGCTACTAGGTTTCTTCTAATTACCACATGTGCGTCATTTTCCACCCCACAGCTCTTTTCTATTTGCAATGTTTTAATAGCCAATTAGGATACATTTTGATACAGTATGTTATGCATTTTACCCTCGGAGCCATACATAATTCTTGCTCTGTCAAGATTGTATTTGCAGGCCTTCTTGGAATCTCTTCCTTGATTCTTCAAATTCAAAAAGTAATTACTGAAGACGTTTACTATACTATAGCTCTTCTTGGTTCACTGTTCTTCCATCTTCAGTGCCAATATGTTTAATCCATGCCCTCAACGCACCAGTGAATTTATGAAACCAAAAGACTTCTAATCTACCAGCATGCCCAGTCTGTGTGTGTGTCTCTTATGTTCTGGATATTTCATGTAGATTGTAAGCTTCATGGAGCAGATTCCTAGTAGCATTTGGTTTGTGTTTGTCTAATGAATGTATGTCTGTCTTTCAAAAGCTTGTTTCAAATGACTCATTTCTGTACAGCTTTTCCTGTGAGATACTCTGACAAATGTTTTAAACATCTCCAAAGCAAATAAATGCAATGTGTTGAAGGATGTGTAATGATTGTAAAGCCATTTAACGCCTGCCTGGCCATCTTTCTAATGTGGCCCATAGATGGGTTGATCACAAAAGCTCTGTTATTTGGTCATTCTTTAAATAGCTTTAAGTTTGATTAACAACCTAATGAGAACTTGCCACTACTGGATATTCTATATATGAGTTTACAGATTTTCACTTATTGAAGAGCCTGAAAAAAGGCTCAATATCTGTGTTACTCAGGACAACCAGTTACTGTTTAATTTGATATCTTAATGGGGTATCTGATCGCTGTGGGAAACGCAGTTCCCTTTTCAGTCAGTTTTAGAAGTGAGGTATATGTACTTGATCTCCTGGTGCGGGACCTGTGTAAAGGACTTCTACGTACCTGATCCCCAATCCCGCTGGCTCCAAGTCTGGCACCTGCAGCCTCTTACTTTTTCTGCTCTTGTGGTGGGGTGCCCTTCACCATATCCGTAAACATAAATGACCAGTTAACCCTAACCATGTCGGATCACATGCAGGATCACATGCAGGATCGCATACATTTAAACGGAGCCTTAGAGTGCTGCAAGGGCAGTTTTTTTGGGGTTTTGTTTTTACCAGGAGATAATTAAACCCTGCTATGCGAGAAAAACAGTTTGACATTCTCGCTACTTGCTTGGCATTCTGACTTCACTTGGTGTATGCTCGTTTTATGTCTTTGATTTAAGAAGCGATGACGTCTTAGACAGCTAGAAAGCATTTAGCAAAGAAAAACCTTTTGTATCTCTCATGACAGCTTTCCTTGAAGATGTTTTTGTCTACATTTTTACTTTTAAAAACTTACAAAGACAACATGATTAGAAGACTTGGCTAATAAGGTTTTTTTCATAAAAATTTCTTAGGATACCAATTACCAACAATGTTTGTACAGATTTTGTTTGGAAGAACATTTTTTGAGTGCTTGGGAGAAAGCTGGAGACTTAGTAATGCTAAGAGAAAAATTGACTTGTCAGTATCCAGCTACAACCCATTCTGTACAGTAAATAAAATGATCTAATGTAGGTTATTTAAGTATAATATTTCTTAGAAGAAAAGCTGCATTCTGTTTTCTAAGGTTCTGCTAAGGCTGCAAGTTAATTTTAACTGCTGTGACTTCAGGTAAACAGCTAACTGACATAAATACAGTTAGCGGAAATCTTAGTAAAGTGCTTTCATTTTGTCAGATGCAGCTCACCCTTTTAACCCACAACTTTTTTTTTTCCGTATGTCTTCAGAGTGGCAGAATCTACAGAAGATGTATCTCCTCTACGACCTCCTCGTTTCATTCATGAAGATGGAATAATTAGACCATACAATCGAAGTGAAGCTCAGGGCCTGAACTTATTTGAGGTATGTTCGGGAAAGGTATATTGTGTTAGCAGTGGTTGACTTGTATCTATGTGTATCCTAGTATCAGGACTTCATATCAGGACTTCCTGATCCTAGTATCAGGACTTCCAATGCCCTTATATCATTATAAAGCTGTAACATGTATTAATGTTGAAATTATTGATTTCTATGAAGAACTGTCTCACTAAAACCATGAATTAGGGCAAGGATGGAGGCCTTGTGTAATTATAAATATTACCTGTCCACACTGCACCAACAGTTTTCATCAGTAGCCTTTTATATAAAATGAATTTCCATAAGGAGCAATGATTGGCTTTAAATGACTATATGCAATTTGTTGATCTCTGCTGCTTTGTGGAAGTTCACTTAGTAAAAAAAAATTGTCAGCAGCAAAATCCGTCTGGGCATGGGCAAAAACTAGCCATTGCAACCAGTTCAGTATGATCCATCAATGACATAGAAGAAGCTTTTATGGCTTAGTTTATTTTTCTGACATGGTTACATAGCAAACACCCCTCCCGCCCACCCACGTACCTGAACCATGGGGTTCTTCTCCCACAGGCTGA